TGGCGGAGCTTGATATGTGCAATATGTGCGGTCGAACAGGGCGGCAGTCTGCAGGGGGCGGCATTTAATTTCCTTTTTTTTTTCTTCTAAAAAATTTTTTTAAGCATCAACCAATACATAAACAAAACATAGAAATCGCATGTTCTTAATAATAGTGATGATAATAATACTATTTCTGTAATAAAAGCACAACAAAGTGTAACCCATATCAACTACTCCCTGTCACATGACCCACGTCAGCTGATGTGAGGTCCCTCTCCTGATTGGCTCCTTCCACGTCGCGGCAACAATGAAAGCTGGCTGTGGGGGAATACTTCCGGGCTAAAAACAAAGCGTTTTTCTCCCCTCAATTCATTTATACTCTCATTTTACCTCAGCGGTAAGTGTTCTTAACATCTACCAATAACACCCTTTTACTTGTCAGTGACCAGTCGATCGTTTTCGCTATAAAAAATGACCTTGTTCGGCGGAGTTCCCACCGCGAGCAGAACTCCGGTTCAAAAACGCTGTTTTTGAAACACTTTTATTTACTTAAGCACTTTAATGGGCTTAACTTAAAACCAAGAGCAATCGAATGATTATTGTTATGTGTTGCCTTGAATTCGGCTATGTTGTCTGTCAGACAGTTGCTTTCCTTTATTGTTGTTTTTGTATTTGTTTGTAGCAAACGCTACTGGAATGTATAGATTAAGCTACGTAGCCAAGATGATTAATAATTGACCTGTTGTACATTCGTGATATGTTTACCGGTAAACTGAATCGAACTTGATGTGCTAATGAACGTTTCTCTGGCCTACAGATCAGGTTTTTTTCCCCCATGTTGAACTGATCTTCTTCATATTGAAGTGGCGAGCTGGTAGGACCATTCTTTCTTTTTGGAATCGGGAAATGAGCTATTATTTACCCCATGAAAAACGAAGCGGCAGCGGGCTGCTGGAGGTGCCCTGCTAGTAAGATCCCGTTTAAACTGAAAACTGCCATAAAATAAAAACTATAATAGCTAGAGCGTTCTTTTTTTAGCTGAAAGTTGAGACTCTCGCCTTTCAGCACATCTGTACTGTACAAGTCGATGATGCCATCATGTTGCGTTAAGTGTGTCTATTTCAGTAGAACTTTGACAAGTGGTGAGAAGGTGGCCAGGAGCTGGATGTTGTATTCAGTCAGCAAACGTTGTTATATATAATACACTCCACGCAATTTGAAACAAAGTTGTAGGTGTAATGTTTTTTCTTGTGTGTGTGTGTGTGGGGGGGGGTGGGTGTGGGGTGGGGGTGGGGGGGTCACAGGGGGATCTCGCACAGGGCGCCATTTAGGCCAGCTCCGCCTCTGGAAGGACATCAGTAGTTGCACTTCCTTGCAGGGAGTTGAAAAAGAAGGGGAAAAGGTCTTTCCACCTCAGTCCGCCCCAACCGAAGCAGGAGACACGGACTTCAGGGAGGCCAAGGTTGTCAGAGGGTCTCTGCAGCTCTCTGGGCACCACGCCTCACTCAGCTGTCACCGATGATCCAAATGGCTATGGAGAAAAAAATAACAGGTTTGGCCTAGCTGTTTAAAGTACAAAACCATACATGAAGTGGTCAAGACAAGTATTTGGAACTTACACTTGCTGTGTTGTGTAGCTGATGTTGGAGACACACAGGTTGCCATGGTGACCTTTTAACAGATCTAAGAAAAAAATGTAATAAAAGAATGAAACTTAAAAACTCCCAGACCTCATTTCATGATTGCTAATCAGCTATGGATGATTTATTGTTTGGATCACAGTGAGTTACACTAATTCTAATATATTTTTATTTCTATTACACATACATACTTTTTAACTGTTATTTTCACATGACTGTTATCAGGCTGTCTTGTTCTGGTTCTCATGGTAACAATTCTGTTTCTTCCAGTAAGTTATCTTGTGCTTAATTCATCTGTATAATGTCTCTTTACTTTTGGTGAATTGTACTGAGTCCAGAATAAAGGCTAGTTGGCTGTACAAGATACAAACAAGTATTACGTTTTGGAAATATATGAAATGTATTTAGCCTGCTAATTTATCTCAAATACTAATAACTAGCGTATTTTCCGGACTATAAATCACACTTTTTTTTCATAGTCTGGCCGGTCCTGCTACTCCGGAGCGACTTGTATAACAAAATATGTAGGCTGCACCGCACTGCTGCGGGCCGACTCCGACCCAAGAATGAGTTCCCCTGTCCCGCTGGGAGGGTTTCAAACACCTCCTTCCTCTGCTGGAGACCGTGGCGCGCTGCTGCGGTGCAATATTCGGTTGTTGTTACTGGTACTTGTCTTGCAATGTGAAACGCTTTGTCTCAGATTTTGTAAGAAAAATAAAATTTCCCCCCAAAATACGACTTATATATGTTTTTTCTTCTTCATTATACATTAAATGGCTGGTGCGACTCAGGAGCGACTTAATAGTCCTGAAAATACGGTACGTGATAAATAGTGAAAACTTGCTCAAAGCAAAATATATTTTCATTACGGAAATAACATAAACTTACCGATTTAACATTTTTTATTCACAGAAAGGTACGTCTCATGAAAAAGCGCCGCAAACCTCCACCTGAACTCCATGCGGTCGATGGGTGTTCCACAGAGTTAGCGCCGGTTGTAGCTAGGTGGCTACATCCATTAGCTCGGCTCCCACCTCCGCGTTAGCGTTGGGTTAGCTTCAGGTTAGCTTGTAGCTAGTTCGACCGAGTGTCGTCTGTTGTTCCCAGCCTTACAGCCCCACCCTCAGCTCCTCCTCTCTTCCCTTTTATGGAATTGTCTGGGCTTGACGGAACCTGTGACACAGTCAAAATGGCGGTGATGGCCACCTCCCATTTGGCCTCAAAAAAGTGATATTGGAGCCTATGGAAAGAAGATGTCCACGTATATTATGTCGATGATTAGGATGAATGGAGGATTTCAGAGGTGCCAGCTAGACTCTGGGGCGACCTGCAACGTTATGAGTATGAAGGACATGAGGAGACTTGCACCTCAGGCTGTGTTGTTACCAAGCCAGACCAGACTAGTTTTATATTCAGGCCAGACGATGTCATCGGTTGACATATTCAACATTGAGTGTGTAGTGAGAAAAAACCCCATGAGCTGAGCTTTGAGATAATGAGGAGCAATCAGAGGCCCCTGCTGTCAGGCAACACATGCGAACGTTTAGGATTAATGCAGTTTACCATACCAGAGGAACTACTTGTGGTTGAGCACAGAAACTCAGGCCCACTGACTAGGCAGCACCTGATCAGCACTTATGAGTATGTTTTTATGGCGCCAGTCAACGCGCTCCTGAGGAAGGTTCATTTCGTGTTAGACAAGGATGTAGTGCCAGAGCAGGCTTCACCACGCAATGTTCCAGTGACTCTCAGAGAGGCTGTCAAAGCTCAACTGGACAAACATGAGAGAGATGGGCACTTAGCTTCGGTGTCCGAGCCACGTAGTACGTTTCGCCACGCTTTGATGTGCAGTGGAAAGAAAGGGTCAGCTCTTTAACTGGTGAGTCGAGTCTTTTAGGGTGTTGAGTTTTAACCAAGTCCTGGTAAGTCGGCCATGCTGAAGTTCTACTGATAACACAATTCAACCAGAAGACATCATGTGATTGTTTTAGGAACAACACAACTAGAACGTGAGACATCGGAGGAAAGTCGCTGAGCTCATGCAACAGTCAGGTCAGTGTCGGGTGTCAGTGAGCCACATGTCAACAGTTTGTACTTACGGGGTCCAGACACGCGTTCAGCGTGGACTTTTAGCATCGTCTTTGGAAGAAGACTTGAACTGCTCATGAGTCTGAAACATATAATCAGACTTATTATTAATAATAATTTTTACCCACAAAATGTTAAACTCACATCTAACACTCATAGTGGTAAACGGAGTTCACCTTTATATCAATCAATCTATCTATTTATCTATCTATCTATCTATCTTTCTATCTATCTATCTATCTATCATCTATCTATCTATCTATCTATCTATCTATCTATCTATCTATCTATCTATCTATCTATCTATCTATCTATCTATCTATCTATCTATCTATCTATCTTTATGAAACATCTATCTATCTATCTATCTATCTATCTTTATGAAACATCTATCTATCTATCTATCTATCTATCTATCTATCTATCTATCTATCTATCTATCTATCTATCTATCTATCTATCTATCTATCTATCTTTATGAAACATATATATATATATATATATATATATATATATATATATATATGTACATATATATATGTACAAATATATATCTATATGGTAAAATGGTAAATGGCCTGTATTTGATATAGCGCCTTCTAGAGTCCTGGAACCCCCCAAGGCGCTTTACAACACAATCAGTCATTCACCCATTCACACACACATTCACACACTGGTGGGGATGAGCTACAATGTAGCCACAGCTGCCCTGGGGCGCACTGACAGAGGCGAGGCTGCCGAGCACTGGCGCCACCGGTCCCTCCGACCACCACCAGCAGGCAAGGTGGGTTAAGTGTCTTGCCCAAGGACACAACGACAGCGACAGACTGAGCGGGGCTCGAACCTGCAACCTTCCGATTGCGGGGCGAGCACTTAACTCCTGTGCCACCGTCGCCCTACATATATATATCTATATCTATATAGATATAAAGGTGAACGGAGCAGTCACATGAGTGGCGTGACATCACGTGCAAAGGGTCAATACACACATATACACACACACACACACACACACACACACACACATGTGTGTGTATATGTATATATATATATATATATACATATATGTATATATGTGTATATATATACGCACACACACACACACACACACACACATATATATACACATATGTATATGTATACATATATATATGTGTATATATATATATATATATATATATATATATGAAACATATATACATATGAAACATATATATATATATATATATATATATATACACATATATATATTATAAAATAATAATATATTATAAAAGGTATATGCTGTAATATTACAGTGCTTAAAATTATATAACACTTGTTTTTACTTAAGTGAAATGTCGCTTGTGGTCTGGGCTCAGCCCAGGTGTTTCATAAAGCCTGGAGACGCCCCTGGCAAAAAGGATTAATAAGTCCTCATTGTGAACGTTTAAGACAAATAGCAACACTTAAAACAACTTCCGAACTGGAAAAACTAACATCCATGATAAACATCTGTTAAAGTACCGAACGAGGTTATCCCTGCTTTCTGAATGTCCATATTGCTAGATATGACGAGTTTTAAGGAGAAATCCCGGGTGATTTTGTCTAGAAATGCAGTTACCCTAAACGTGCGCGATCCCGTGGTGGCTAATCATTTTTTGGCAGCCAGTCGATTTATGGCACAACACCGGCAACTTCAGCAGATGATACGGTGGCTGGTAAGGGTCACCGCGCCCACACCGCAGCCACGGTAACCCACCAAGATAATTTTTTTTAAACAAGACGGTTATAATTATTGTCAACTTTTTTTTACCAGGGCTTACCGCTTACTGTGACAACCCTAAGAACAGAAAATGAAATAATTATTTTAATGTTTAGAGCAGCAGGAACTCTGAGAGGCTGCAGGCGCATCAGTGAGTTTGCAGCCACTGCGCAGAGGGAGGGGGGAGAGGGCTGAAGCAGAAACTACTGTTATTAAAAGAAATGTTTAACTTTGAAAATGTGGGCGCAATTTTATTTGTCAAAAACTCCAGCGAACCAACCGTGTTTTCTCGTGTTGACTGCAGAGACTTTAAGTGAGGGTTCAGGACGAGGTTCCAGGTTTCCTTGAGTCCTTTGGCTTATTTCTTGTCACTAAATGGGGATTTCTATTAGCTTATAGGACAACAAGATTTGTTCTCCGCTTTATTTCGTCTTTCATGTTTTGCATCTCTCTCTGAGAGTCTCTCCTTCTTTGGAGGAGAACAGGAGGGCGAGAATATGGGGGAGATAGTGTTGGTTTAGAGTTAGGTTTACACTGATCTGAAGTATTTTCATTCACTATCTGCTGATCTTGAGTGACAGAAGCATTGCTTTTGTCTTCACTATCAGTATTGCTTTTGTCTTCACTATCAGTATTGCTTTTGTCTTCACTATCAGTATAAAACTTCACCAAAGGTTCTGCTAGCCTTTTAAGCATCTGTACTTCTTCCTGACATCTTTCTGCTTTCTGTTGAAGATCTTGGATTATTTCATTTCCAAACTGACTCACCACCCGTGGTACTTCCTCCACTACTTTAGCCAAATCATCTTCAAAATCTCTTAGTTCACGAGCAATGTTAACTTTCATATCTACTATTCGCTCGGTACGAAATTCTGATTTATTTTTAGCCTTTATTCGCTGAAGCTCCGGGTTATAGATCCCTGCTATAATTTCATTCAGATCTGAAATCTCTTTATCTTTGTCATCAACTATCTTCAAATGGGCGTCCAGCAGTTTCCCTATTTCCTTTTTCTGTTCACTAATTTCTGTCTGAGCTTCAAGCAAGTTACCCTCCAGCTCTCTCTTTTCTTTTACCAGCTCAGTATTTTCTTCTTCCAGCTTTTTATTTACTTTTTTCAGTTTAAGGCTTGTGTTCTTAGCTTGTGTAAGGTCGGTGTCCAACTTGTGGCAGGACTTCTGGTAGCTCTGCAACTTGGTCAGGAGCCTTTTCTCTTCAGTCTCCTTTTCTGTAATTACGTTTTTCATAAGGTCGTTTTGACTTCTCATCTGGTCAAGCTCAAGCATACTTTGATGAAGCTCAGCTTTCTTTTCACTAATCTCACTTTTCATTTGGGGAATTTGAATTTTCATTTGTCTGTTTTCATTTTTTAACTTGTCCCGCTCATCTGTTAGTTTCTGGTTTTGTCCTTTTCTATATTTGATGTGCTTTTTATGATAATCAATCTCATTAAAGGCCGCTTCATTTTGCTCCGTAAGTTCAGCTATTTGCTTGTCCTTTTCTCGTACTTTCTCTTCCAACTCTGTCTTGAGTTTATTATGTATTTGAACTATCTCATTGTATTTATGATATGTCTCTGTCAGTTCCTTATTTTCCTTCTGCAGTTTTTGGTTATCTTGTTCTATTTTTTCATGCAATTCCTCATTAACTGTTATGTCTTTTAGTTGCTTTTTCAAAGCTAATATGGTTTCACGTTGGCCTTTGATTTGCTTGATGTGTTTATTGGTTTGATCCCTAGCCTCCAAATAATCTACTTTAATCTTAGTAGCATCAGAATCTGCTTCCTTAAATCCTATTTCAAGATCATGGATTCTTTGAATATACTGAACGTCTTCACGTGGAAACTGTACCATTTGCTCTGTGATATCGTTCAGGTTTATGTGGATGTCTTCGTAGTCATTCCTAATTTTGAAAAGGGTTAACATGTATAATTCTCTTGTTCTATCACAAACCTTGAACTGATTTTTCAGATGTTCATAATCTGCTTCCAATTGAAGTATTTTATCATTTGCTTCCTTAATTTCTTCAGTCATTTTGTTGATTTCGCAATCATGCTGTTGTTTCAAAAGATTTTCTCTTTCAATTGTTACAGTTTTGAAGTTTTCAAAGGATTCTTTGGTAATCTTTAGCTGTTTTTTTAACTTATCGTAACTGTAGTAAACCATGGCTAAATCTGTGTTAAGATTAGATCAAACTCTGCGATTAAGTCCTCTGATGCTGGTCTGACTACACTGAAATTATGTCTAACAAACCTCAAGCTAATCAGACCTGTGTGATGTCATCAAATTCCGTCCTTTGATCTGGTTGCTTGGTAAGCAAGTGGTCGGAGCCTAACTCTTTATGTTAATGAAGCAAGTGGGCGGAGCCTAACTCTTTATGATAATGAAGCAAGTGGGCGGAGCCTAACTCTTTATGCTAATGAAGCAAGTGGGTGGAGCCTAACTCTTTATGTTAATGAAGCAAGTGGGTGGAGCCTAACTCTATGTTAATGAAGCAAGTGGGCGGAGCCTAACTCTTTATGTTAATGAGGATGATACTGTTGATGCTGAAGATGATAATCACGATAATAATGTATAATAATAATAATAATGATATAATAATGATAATAATAATAATGAGATGCTGATGCTGAAGTTGATGATGATCATGATGAAGATGATGTATTTCACATTTCTTGCTGTAGCAGTTTGCCTTTCAACCTGTTTGCTCTCCACAAGGTAGGAATCCCAGCTCTCTGATTGGCTAAGGCTGTCTTCAAATTTCTGCTGCATTTTTTCTGTGAGAAATGATGCTGGAAGTGGCATGCCCCATCAAAGTTCTTCAGGATTTTCTAGTTTGATAGAATTATTTTAATGTTTAGTGGGGCTGAAAAAGTAAACATGTTTTTTCAAAAATAAATAAATAAATAAATAAAGAGTTTTGCTCATATTTATTTAGTTTCAAAACGTGTGGAAAAAACAGAGGTCATAAACACGATACAAGAGAGGAAGTTAGAAATAGATGGATCTGGATCATTTATTTAGGAATTTTTTGGTGAACATTCTCAACAATATTTAACCTTGTGTTGAATTGTTGCACAAAAAAAACTAAGTTTGCATAACAAAAGTATATATGTCTGCTCCCACATGGAATCAAATCTTTACAGTATAACTGACAATCCATCCATTCATTTTCATCCGCTTATCTGGAGTCGGGTCGCGGGGGCAGTAGCCTAAGCAGAGAGGCCCAGACTTCCCTCTCCCCAGCCACTTGGGCCAGCTCCTCCGGGGGAATCCCAAGGCGTTCCCTGGCCAGGTGAGAGACATAGTCCCTCCAGCGTGTCCTGGGTCTACCTTTAGGTCTCCTCCCGGTTGGACGTGCCCGGAAAACCTCACCAGGGAGGCATCCAGGAGGCATCCTGACCAGATGCCCAAACCACCTCAACTGGCTCCTCTCGATGTGGAGGAGCAGCGGGTCTACTCCGAGCCCCTCCCGAATGACCGAGCTTCTCACCCTATCTCTAAGGGAAAGCCCAGCCACTCTTCGGAGAAAACTCATTTCGGCCGCTTGTATCCGCGATCTCGTTCTTTCGGTCACTACCCAAAGCTCATGACCATAGGTGAGGGTAGGAACGTAGATCGGCCGGTAAATCGAGAGCTTCGCCTTCTGACTCAGCTCTCTCTTCACAACGACAGACCGGTACAACGCCCGCATCACTGCAGATGCAGCACCAATCCGCCTATCGATCTCACGCTCCAGTTTTCCCTCACTCGTGAACAAGACCCCGAGATACTTAAACTCCTCCACTTGGGGCAAGGACCTCATCCCTGACCCGGAGAAAGCGTTCTACCCTTTTCTGATTCAAGACCATGGTCTCAGGCCTCAGGCGATTTTGACTCAAAACTAAAATTCATTAGAAATCTTCTAAAAAGTCTCAACATTGCTGATTATGTGACTTAAAGGTGCACTTGTCAGGTTTTTTTTTACACTTTTCTTGAAAAATTATTCACGTATTGATGGCAACAAACTAAATAAATATTTTGTCAAATAAAAATGATTATTTAAAAGGCAAGATTCATGGCATGATGGCAGATTTAAATTCAAATGTAATGCAGTTTTTACCTGAAGGCAGAGCAACACTGACCGTTTTAGGCAGAATATTTAAATTTGAACTAAGATGCACTAAAGTGCCAAATTATTGTCTACACATGTCTGCAGCACGATTAGACACTCGTTTATTTAGTTTATCAGCAACAAAAGAGTTGATTTGGGGGTGACTTGTTCTTCAAATCACCCCTGAAACACAATCCTGGTTAATTAGTTCCTATACACAAATGGATGAGGTCTTTAAATTTTCATTGTAGTTTTGAAAGTTTATAAATTTTCACTTTCTATTGTAACAAAATTTCCTCTATCACATTTTATCATCATTTTAGTTTATTTTTGAATAAAGAGGACTGAGAGTTCACAAGTATAGAAAAAATGGTTTGTTTCCTGTTTCTTCTCGTTAAAAGATTCTTCTTAGCCCCACTGTTAGCAAATGGCTAAAAGGTCACGTGACTCTTTGTGTTCAGCACAACTCGATGTGTCAAAACCTGATGATGAGGACAGTCTGGGACCTGTAATGTAACAAATTCACAAATACCTCAGGACTGGATGACTGTCTGGTCTCTCATGGACTCTTTCTCATCCAGCAATCATTTTCTCTGTTCCCCATGTGTTGTGATTGCAGTGATGGGGGAAAATGTCACAGCTGTATTGTTCTTGCAGAATATAATCACTGCTATAGACAGATGACCTGAGATTACTCACTGCTTTCACATTAACTAAGACATTTGCTCAATTTGAGCACTAGAGGGACACATTTCCCTAGTCAAGCTGAGCATTTAGGGATTCTGATACACAAGAAAAATTTTAGTAATTTAAAAATGGATTATGTTATTATAGTTGAATGTTAAATAAATAATTTTTGTAAAAAGAATATAACTACGAGATGTTATTTGCAGAAAATGGTAAAAAAACATTGAGTCTAAAATCTAACTGATGCATGTAATGTCAGTTTTTATGCAAATTAATACAATTGTTACAATTTTGTTTAAGGGTCTTTTTTACTTTTTTAGTTTTCTTGATCTGAATCTTCTGATTGCTTGAAGCAAACAAAAGTTTTGAGACTGATCGCTGACGACCCATGACAACTCTACGGTTCCATCATTTTGGTATTTGTTGGTAACAGTGACGCTTCACATGCAGAATCAGTTCCTAGCTTCCATTTTTACACGTTTTAAGGGAAATAAAATACTGTGCAAAGACCTAGTTTGGACGTCCTACAGACGTGGTTTGGTTGTTTTCCACTTGGTCCTAGTGCTCAACCACTGTCTGTTTAATATAGCATAATATTGTTTTGTGATGTTTAAAAGTGCAGAGGACAAAAATTGACTGAAAAGATCAGAGCAGGGTTTTGCAGCTGCATGATGCTCTGCTACTACAAAGCTAACCCTACCTTGCTCACGCCGAATGCAGAATGGATACGGTTCAGTTTCACGTAGAACAGAAATCATTGAGTCCAACCAGACCATTAACACCAGCGGTAGTGCAGATAAGGCTGCGGAGCTCTGGAAAGTTTCCACATGGAGTTTATTTACTCAAGACACCACATAAGACTTGCCAAAACGCTAAAGAATTCAAATGAGCGAGACAGGAAGTGAGGCGTGGTTCTTCATTAGCATCCCGGCATGCGTTGTGGTCAATGACGCAATGCTCCCTGTCTGATTTCGGCAATCGTGTACCACTCACTCGAAGCCTTACCGCGCATTTTCTCCTAGCACTCTTTGCTGAAGACCGCAGGGCGTGGTGCGAATATCGGGATTGGGCCTGTGTCATTATACCCTTCCCTGCAACATGATAGACACATTGGGCTGCTGTGCGATTATTTTACTGCCCAATTCTTACATATTTAACTTTTAACATGCTGGAGGCCCACCCTGCAAGTTTCAAAGCAGCAAGAGCGTGTGGACAGAGGGTAACGACAAGACTAAAACGACACCATGTGACAACAAGGCTCGAGGACAAAATAAGACAAATCAGATAACAGCAACTCCTGACAAGTTATAACAACAGACCAGACAACAACATGTGACAACCAAGCCCCCACAGTGCGGGACAGAAATTGAGTCCAATGCGTAAGTGAAATAAATTGCAGTTCCACCCTCATCCACTAGGGGCTGGTGTCAGAAGCGAGCAAATCCTCATTGACTCCCATGTTAAAAATACCAATTTCACAGCAGAAATAAACATGTTTACAGCCTGGTTCCAAAACATGTTTTTGGTTTAAATGATCTAGTTTACACTCATGACAACTCTGAGGGGGTTGAATTTTTTTCTCAGTCTTCTGTTAAAGTGTATTAAAAGCCTAAAATTCTGTATAATTAATGAGCATCTGACCCACGTGACCGCAGAGCTAGCTCCGTGGAAAGGCCTCAGTAGAGCCTCGGCCTGGCTCAGAAACTGCTCCGGGATTTTGAGTCTCTGTGTTTGTGTATTCTTGTTTGGATATTATTTGTGCAATTGTTGGACTAAATGACTTGCTGTGGCATTAATTGCACTATAGAGCATCCAAGGAGTCTCCACTTCATTTTTTCGGAAAGTAAAATTATATTTATGTATTTTAGGTCACTGCCGAGCTGATCTTAGATTTTAACATGTACTGTTTAACCATGAAACTTAAATGTAACAGGGTTAAACCCAGTGCATTTAACATAATGCTGCACTTTAGAAAATGGGTTGAAATATAACATGTTGGTGGAGCTGGGTTACCACTATCTGCTTGTGGAGCTCTCGGGAGACCGATGTTTTCCACCCGGTTCTCCCCTCCCCGCAGCTCGGCGCATCTCTGTCTGATCGCGGCTTCTGTCTGCTGCGCGGGCTGCCGGCTTGTGGAGCTCTGGGATGGAAACCTTTCCACGCGGTTCTCCCCAGCGGCAGCTCTGCGCATCTCAGATCGCAGCGGCGCTTGTCTGCTGTGCAGCTGCCGGCTTGTGGAGGTCTCGGAGACCTCTGTGTTCCACCCGGTTTGACCCAGTGGTCAGCCCGGCGTACCTCTGACTCAGAAGCTCTGGTGTTGTGCACAGTTAACTCCGGTTGTAGCTAGGTTGCTAACTCCGTTAGCTTAGCTCCCACCTCCGCGTTAGCTTTGGGTTAGCTTCAGGTTAGCTTGTAGCTAGTTCGACCGGGTGTCGTCAGTTGATCCCAGCCTTACAGCCCTACCCTCAGCTCCACCTCTCTTCCCTTTTATGGAATTGTCTGAGCTTGACAGAACCTGTGACACGGTCAAAATGGCGGTGGTGGCCACCTCCCATTTAGCTTCAAAAACGTGTTGTTGGAGCCTATGGAAACCCATTGTCCATATATGTATATGTCGATGGTGACAACAGAAGACAAGTTCTATACAAAAGTGAAAAACATTAAAAGAGCATAACATTACAGCAATACAGTGAGCGTATGGATACATAGACACTGTTTGGCACATCCGGAACCTCATAGATACCTGCGATCATAGACTCTGTTTATCCTCATCGGGGATATTTTCATCACCCTAAAGTTATTTTTCACTCTACTGGACTCACCTGATTAAAATGAGCATAATGAATCATAACAACAAACACGGATCTGGATGTGAACATGCCTTTTTTATGTGGTTAAAGATTTTTTAGGTTCATCTTAGCTTTTATTATGCTAACAACAGATGGCCACCATAACAGTAAAAGAAAAAACACACAAATGAGGAGGGTGGAAATTTGTTTTTGAGTTTTCATTGCTAATTTGGGCTAAAAATGGTCAATTTTACTAAGTGCACCAGATCCAAACTGTCTCATTACATTTTAAGCGATAATTTTTTTTTTTTTTTTTTTTTTTTATTTATTTGCATTCATAAAGTGGTAAATATCACTATTACATGTCCTTTACGGAGTAAAGGTTTGTTAAAGTTGTTGAAAATCTTTCCTTTTATTTTCTAAAAAGAAATTTGTTATTATTTGTTGTTTGATACGTTTGGATTCATCTCTTTCAGAAGCTTGTTGGTGTTTGTGGATGAGCTCAAACCTGAAGTTTGTAAACCTTGTATTTATCATTCTTGTGACTCTAATTCTTACTAATTTATTAGGAGCACATGAACTTCCTTCTCTCGTGACTCAAGTCAGCACTCAAATACTCAAAACTTAAACACATTAACTCAGTCTTTGAACAGCTTATAACCATTTAGATTCAACCTGAAACCTTTCTTTTTGTAAGTTCTTGCCTTATGGAGACATCTTATTAATGTGATCATTATAACACAAAGACACTTTTAATTTATTGATTTTTCCATCGTTTTATAAGTTACACACAATACAACAAAGCCCTGTTATGTTTTGTTTTGTCCCCAAAAAGGTAGACAGGGGCAACGTTGCAAAAATGTTCTTCTTCTTGTACTGTCGGGCTTTTTTGAATTCACAGTTGGATTTTTCAACGTATTTCAGCGTACCAGAATGGCCATTTGTGTGAACAGTTCAGGATGTGCTTCACCCTGGCCTCCAGCTCTACCAGCTCCTTGTGTCTACCTTTGAGGTCACGCATAACCATACGTAAGGAGAGTCCACCTTGTGGCTGAAGGTCATGAGACAGCTCGGTCCAGCCCTCACCACCTTTATCCACTAGTTCATCCAGCTGCTCGTCATCGATCTTTTTCCCCAAGACGGAAGCCTGCCTCTGGATCCTTACCCTGCATGCACTCCGCTGTTTCTCCTCGGCCTTGCTGTACTCATTCATGGCTTCTCGGAAGTCATGGGTCAGTGTGTCACACTGAGCAGAAGTAATGCGATAAACAGTGGAGTTGGGACCCTCTGTTTGCTCCAGCAGCCTGCTCTCTTTACCCAAGGCCTGTATGCGGACATACACGGCCTCCCCTTGCTGCTGGATTCCTCTGGCGTTATGATCAGAGTCCTTTTTAGAAGTGAGCGACGGCGCACAGAGGAGCTGTAGCGCTCGTTGTGGATGCAGAAATGCGTTATCTCATCACGAAGCAAGGAGGTCTCCTTGCGGATGGAGTTGGCCTCATTCAGGATTTTGTCCATAACTGAGGAATCATCAAAAATGACAGCTTCCTCAAAAAGGCCGTCTTTGTCTACGTCAGGTTTGTGACCTGAACTCTTCAGCTCCTCGTCCTCCTCAAAGATGGCAATAAGTCTCTCCAGCATATCCCGCATTTTGTCTGAGAAGATATGAAAAACATCTCAGTGACTTTAGTTAAGCTGCACAGAACACTGATCTTATACCAGATGCATCATGCACATCAGGCTGTGTGATTTAACAACTTCTGAATTATTTTACATGATGATCACATCTTACAGCATCACAGATAACGATATAACATTTCATGTTACAAAATAGTAAAGCGCCTATGTTTGTATAGTGCGTTGTTAGGGTTCTACAACCTCCCAAGGTGCCTCACAACACAATCAGTCATTCTTTCATTCACACGCTGGTGATGAGCTATTGTAGCCACAGCTGTCCTGGGGAGCACGAACACGGCACTTCCAGTCCCTCCAGCAGGCAAGACAGGTTAAGTGTTTTGCGCAAGGACACATCAGCAGCTTTCTCTGGTGGGAGCTGAGACTGAACCTACAACCTTCTGATTACTGGACAACCCATGCTAACTCCTGAGCTACTGGTGCCAGTATTATGAAACAAGAATGGCTGCTACATGCTACGAAGGATTACTTTTATCTCTAAATGATGTCTGGTGTCACACAGCCAAGCGGCTCAGTGGAATTTCCTCTTAAAACATGAACAAGGAAGATGGCATCATACTGAAAAACACACCTTGTGGTTTTGTATCTTTAAAAGGTTCAAATAAAGCTGATTTAAAATCAGCATTTTGTAATTTTTTAATATTGTAAAACTGTCAGTGTTGTAATGTTTCATAGCCTTAACAAGTTACCAATTTCCTTAAGTTTTTAAAAAAATCTAAAAATAAACATTTTTTTAAAGTAGTAAAATGTTTTTAGTAGAGATTCTGAATCAGTAATACAAGTTTACTGTGATGATCTAGTTACTCAGATCTCCATCAGTTACTTATTTCAATCTTCTGAGGTATGACTCTTGAAGTATCTTACCTTTTTAGTGTTAAATGTTTCCAAATGCATAATCATTCAGCTTATTTCACTAGCCTGAAGCATGTAAACAGCATCCTGGTGTTCAGCATGCTGCTGCTGTACCCTTGTGCAAGACCATTAACCCGCCTTGTTTGCTGGTGGTGGTCGGAGTGACCAGTAACACCAGTGCTCGGCTTTTTCGCTTCCGTCAGCGGCGGCTAGCCTGATCATCACCAGCATGTGAATGGGTGGATGACTGACTGTTGTGAAGCACCTTGGGGGGTTGTAGAACAAATACAGGCCATTTACCATGTTAATGACTTTTGTTTTAACTCTAGATTTATAAATCTGACTTAGTTCAATCCTTTTTTGTGTTTTCTACGGTCAGTAGTAGCGAATCTGGTTAAACGTGCAACAGCTGTCACTGCGCATCCAATAATTATTTCTGCGTTTCGTTAAAATGCTTGCCTTCTTTTCACCTTTTGTCCCATGATTCGGTTTAATTTGTTTATTTTACACATAAATGCATCACAAATGCAACGAAAAGGGAGTTTAGGAAACATTTATTTGCTGTTGCCCTTAAAAGATATCAGAGGAAACGACAAATAAAACACTTGTTTTAAACTTAAAACTAAATATCTTATGGGTGATACAATGCATAAATCAATTACAATAGTACATGCATTACTGTCCTCAAGCCACATTAATGAATACTTTGTGACTATGATAATGGTGTACAGTAGAAATAGTACCATCCTTCACGTTTCCTGGTCTAGTCCTTAGTTGTAGCATGGAAAGCAGCTGCAGAACATCTTCTTAAATGGGTTGTTTTTGTCGTGGCGTTTAGCCAAGCTAAGTTTGACCAGGGAGTCTTTTATCTCTGCATCCGTTTTCTGAACATTGGTTTGGATGTAGTCCATCATGGGGCCCTGCTCCTCTACCAGCAGAGCAATGTCTAGGAATATCTCGTGGATGCCTTTGATACGCATCTCCAGATCCAACAGCTCCTGATGGCGCTTCTCGATCTGGAACAGCGCCGATCGGGCCGTTTTGCCTTCACTCACGATGTTGTCAGTGAAGATGCTCAGCTGACCCTTCTCAATCATGTCGTCCAGGTCTTCCTCCGTCACCTCACGCCCCACGATCTCCATCTGCCTCATGATCTGGGCTTTGCAGTTCTCGCGGTGGTTCATCTCCGCCTCGTTGTAGTCAAACATGACGTCTCGAAGCCCGTTACTGAGGCAGGCGTACTGGGTCCGTGCAATGCGCGTGATGGCAGAGTTTGAGCCATGCTCTTCCTCTAGCTTGTGGGCCTTTCCGTCCAATTTCTGGAGGCTCTCCAGAACCCCCTCTGCCCTTTTTTTAATGTCGGCACCAATTTCATTCGAGTCCTGTTTAATCACGCTCATGGTGGTGGTTCCCTGGAGCATTCGGGAATTCTGCTCACGGAGCTTTTTGACATCCAAACGGATGGTTTGGATTTCTGTGTGGATGTCTTGTGATTGAGTGAAGACATCGTCAAGTGCGGGGCTAGAGTCGAACACGACCACCTCGTGGGGGAGCTCTTCTTCCAGGTCGACGTTGCTGAAGGAGTCCGAGAAGGTGGACTCTTCGTATTCAAACGGCTCGATGTCGCTGGTGGACATTTCCTGCAGGTTACTAAGTCTGTCCCTCATGTTTGGTTTGGAGGAGTGAACTCTACAAATGTCAGGATGAACTTCTCTTTGGTTATTGTCCCTCACATCGATAGCGGTGACACATTCAACCGACCTGGCCTGTCAAGAGAAAGAAATACGAGTTTTAATACCACAACTGGGATTTAAGTTTCAGGCTAAAAAAAACAACTGAAGTTTAAAAATATCTGTTCTTCTTAAAACCCTTTTCTTTCTACCGTAAACCTACCCAACACCCACCACCGACCTAACAGGTTCTCCAAAGAATTAGTCCAGTCTTGGTTCTCACCAAACTTGTTCCTACAGCTTGAGACAGACATCTTAAGTATTCATCTGAACATTCACCATGAGCGAGATCATCAGTTTAATAAAAAAAAAACATATATATATATATATATATATATATATATATATATATATAATCCTATCAGAACAATTTTTGAACAATAACATATAAAGCTAAAAGCAAATGGGAGCATGTGCTTTTGACATAAAAGGATCAAGTTTGGAATTGAGAAAAGGTTATTTGATCATATTTATCATTTGATCTCTAATGAGTCTGCCTCAAATGTAAAAAAGGCAGATCCAGACATAATGTGTATTGTAAATCCAAATCCAGCAATATAATCAGTAAAGAATCATAATTACATTTCCAAAAAGCCCTAAAACACCGTTTCCCCCATGTTTTCAACATTTAGTGGGTCTGAGTGGCTTAGCCTCCCAAACTTATATCTTTTGTTCACAAAGTTGAACAAACTCAAGGAAAGTTTCCCATCAGACTCACCTGATTAAAATAAATTATCCTTACCTGTTCTGAATGCAGAAATGAACCTTTTCCCCTTTGTTGGTTGTCTGCTCAGCAGCAGCAGCAGCATCCTCCAGGCCTGAGGCCGACCACACTGGACTGAGAGCAGGAAAATAAAGCGCCCCGCATGCGAACATCAGCTGTCTCCAGACCCAAAGAAGACCGAATTGTTCTGTGGTTTCTTAAGGGCGCAGGCCCTCGTCACGCCACGGAACAGTTACGTGACTTTGTAAGAATGAGGTTCGGTCGGTTTAGCAAGTGACGCATCTTCAGCAGCACAGGAGTGGAGAGAACTTTCACGTTCTACAAAAAAGAAGTGCGCGTTGTTGATGTGTTTACGGGAGCATTGACATTAGAGCCCCTGTTGTCATTATTGAGAGGTTTTTAAAATAATTTATTTGATTTTTTATTTATGTCATAAATGAAGAGCCAAGCATGTGCAGAAAAGAACAAGTGAGAACATTTTTCCCAGCCACACCCGATGACTTTCAATGAGCTTTTTTTAGTGACAGAACAGACTGATGCGGTTTAACCAGCTTCCGAACCCAGCTGATTATTCAGATTGTGTGTGACAATGTTCTTTGTGTTTTTAATTATGAGTGCATTTATTCTGTTGTAACATGTTTGTTTTCTAATGTTCCGCTCTTGCTACTGCCTCCTGGCCAGGTTTCAATGGATCTCAGTCGATTCACCTGATAAAGATCAAAGAAATAAATCAATCAAATTAAAAACAATTCGATCTTAGCTGCACATGGAAACTGATTTTAAAACTTTCTCCACGAGGCCCATATTTGAACACAAATGTAATTCTATAACAACAACAACAACAACAACAACAACAACAACAACAACAACAATAATAATAATAATAATAATAATAATAAGCTGTTGCCTTGCAGCGAGAAGGTCCTGGGTTCGCTTCCCGGCCTGGGATCTTTCTGCATGGAGCTTGCATGTTCTCCCTGTGCATGCGTGGGTTCTCTCCGGGTAATCCGGCTTCCTCCCACAGTCCAAAAACATGACTGTTAGGTTGATTGGTCTGTCTAAATTGTCCTTAGGTGTGTGTGTGTGTGTGTGTGTGTGTGTGTGTGTGTGTGTGTGCGTGCGCGCGTGCGCGCGATTGTTTGTCCTGTGTGTCTCTGTCTTGCCCTGCGATGGACTGGTTCTCTCTGTCCATGGGTGTACCCCGCCTGATTGCCCATTGACCGCTGGAGATAGGCACCAGCCCCCACGGCGACCCTATACGTGGACAAGCGGGTTCAGAAAATGGATGGATGGATGGATGGATGGATGGATGGATGGATGGATAATAATAATAATAATAATAATAATAATAATAATAATAATAATAATAATAATAATAATAATAATAATTTGCACGTTTAAACTTTCAAATTAAGGGACATGATGTTTAAAACTTCAATCAAAGCTGAAGTATGAGGAGCATCTGATGTTCATATGACTGATCAGAACATCTCCAATTTTCTATGATCCTCACGTGCTACTTATTCCGGTGTCCCGCTCCATTATCAGGAAACGGCAGAATTTAAAAAGGTACTTTGTTGACAATCTATTTGAAATGTTTCACGTGTATTTTTTAAATGATTTTAGCCTGTGTGTTAGGTAAAGACGGTTATGGAAATATGTGACATGCTGAACAAGGATTAAGATGATCACATAGATAATGATGCATCTTATACTCCACTTTAGTCTTTGAAATACTCTTGTTTTGAAACATAGATTTTAATATTATTATTCATTTCCATATTGTGGACATGGTATTTTTTATCTTAAATGTCTGTAAAATCATATCTAATTTAAACATAACTAATTAACCAATTTAATCAGATTTGAAGATTTGGTCATAATCTTGTGAAATTATTGATTAATTTAGTTAAGTCACACTAAAGCGGGTTTATGATGCTGATGCTTTTACTGAACCCTCGTATTTTTTAAAGGCAACTCCAGAGGACAGTAAAGTTCCAAGTTTAAATTTACTTAGAAATACATTGTGTTAACTTGAACATTCTTGCAACTTCATCTGGGTTTAATGATTTATTTAGAAAAGCAGGTTTTTAAATTACTCGACGGTATTGGTTAAAAACGTTGGGTAAGGCAGCAGCCTGGGATTTAATAACAAATTAACATAATTTCTAAATGTTGCCTTATAATAGGCTGTGAACTGATTGCGTGACAACCACGTGGTCCTCTCTTACAGCTTGTGTCACAATAAAGCATGTTTTCCTGCTAGGGATTTGCCAAACCGAGTAACGGTTTGTGGATGATCGAAATTCCCACTACCCCTGAAGACAGCGTGCCTCCATCAGTAATATCTCAACTTTCTTTTCTCCGGGAGGAACAGGGAAACATGAAGTTGGCTTCATTTCGCAGCGCTTGTAACAGCCTCCGTGTGTATACGTCTCATCCTGGAAGCAGATTCAGCGGTTTGTTTCGAAGATGCTTCCCCGTCGGGATAACCAACAATCGTCTAGCCATTCGTGCGGGTAGCGCTACCACGAGCAGCGGCACTAGGTCCACACTACCAGCTAACTTTGGGAAACAATGCAAAGAGGAACTTTGGTCGGAGTACAACTATTCAGTAGGGTAAGATAACGTCAGACAGATGATAAATATCAGAATTCATGTTCCTTATTTAGAGGAAATGCGTGTTTTCCGGAAGATTCATTGTTTAAAATAATATATTTTATGTCTATAACTGTGACGGATCTCTCTGGCTTTTGGCTAGCAGCCCGTTTTGCACGTGCCGCCGTTTGACAAGGGTCTCGAGCCAGATGATGTAACATCTCTCTGTTGTTGCTAATCACGTGATTCTTAAAAATGGACGGAATTTCACACGGAACAGTGATAAAACACGCTGATGGAGGATGCTGGAAAGTTCACTTCCACTACAAGACATTTTCAACATCTCTAAAAATGTTTATGTAATGTAAAAAATTAAAAATTCATTGTTTAAAATAATATATTTTATGTCTATAATTTGAATAAGTGAAATCCTAAAGGCGCTTTGCTAAATATGGGCATGAGGAAATTAATGTTTACATTTTTGGCGAAATGTAGGTCAGTGTTACACTAGCTCCTCCCACTTTTTAAAGCACACTGCAAGAAATGAAATGTTGAAATTACTGTTAAAGGTAAATGTAAATGACTCTTTACATCTAAGCAACTAGGTCTAGTGGAACCAGTTGACAAAATTGGTTATGTAAATGCAACATTTAATTTCTTAGAGTGTATTTTAATATTAAAACCTACATTTCATTGTGGAATTCATGAAGAGATAAGCCACGACAAAATAAAACTAACTAGCTTCCTAAACAGATATTAGGTGACATGTTTTTTCAGATACTAGCAGCTTGGCTCCTGAAATGCTCTGGTGTTCCCTTATTGGTTGTGCCATAGAAAAAGAGATAAAATTTCATTTTTTTTTTCACAGAGAAGCTGTTCAGAGAACTAAAGCAGCAATGGTGACTCTGCTAAGAAGAAATCCAGAAATTCAGCCTTTGTTAGCAATTCTACAGGTAAAGAGGCAAAAAGACACTTGTAGAATAAATTATTTTGATATTTGTAGCAGGATTTACATATTTTAAAGGTCTAAAGCCAGTTTACTTGATGGAATGCTGTTGTGCTGGACGTGTCTGAATGTGCCCTAATGAACCTTTGACCTTGGTAGCATCTCGTTTTACTGCTTTGCTCAGCTTGTTTAATCTCAAAGGCAGGCGAAGACGACAGCATTTTGGAAATCAATAAGAAAATTGCGGGCAAGGTAATGATAGAGCTGACTGTTCCATCTTGTAGATTTGGTTCTTACCTTTATTTTCACTCACAGTAAATGTCATCATGCCTGTATTTTCACAGGTTGGCTTGAATGTAACTCAGATTTGTTTGGCAACTGGGTGCAGTGAAGATGAGGTGAGTAAACCTGACTCACCCAATTGGTTCTTATAAATTTTGACAAGTCTCCACATGATTTATCGTTTCATAGTTTCTCTGTGCGCATGTGATCATGGCAGTTACATCTGCCGGTGCCTTATGTTTTAGGTCTCTACCTGTAAGATTTGACAACTAATGTTAGAAATGTGTTTAATAACTCTTGTTTTGTAGATTTAATATGTGTTTCCATTCATAATGACAACATTTCTGTTAAAAAAACTCTTGCACACATCTTAGGACTTCTTGTCTTTTGTTTGATTGCAGATTGTAGAGGAGTTGCTAAAGCTCAATAACGACCCCAAAGTACATGGGGTCTACCTCCACCTCCCCGCGGCTTCTCTCACTAGCCGAGTGCTCGGTGCGCTCAATCCAGAGAAGGATGTTGATGGGTAAAACTTCTGTTCCTTCTTATGAATTAAGCTAAAGTCTGAGGGCAAGAGGAGGTTACACCTTGAAGAAGTATCTAGTGTATTACTGAGCCAACACATAGAGACACAAGGCATAACAATTCACACTTACATAGTCGTATACTCTGTTACAACCCTTGAGAAATTAGCGGTCCAGGAGGTTAGGGTGTAACACAAAAAAATAACAAAAAACTGAAAGAAGGCATTTAATATACAAATAAAAGAAAAACAACCAGGAACTTCTTAACACTATAACAAAAAGAGGGAAGTAGTTCAACGTCAGGGTCTCCAGGCCAAAACAACAAACAAAACCACCCCTTTAGCTAAAACAAAAAACATGCAACCCTTCTATAATGAAAAGAAACAAATACAATGCCTGGGCTACACTGGCTGTCCACAAAACAGGAGAAAACGGTGCATCAAAGAAAAAGGCAGAGAACCCCTACCAAATACTTCCCAACTAATAAAAGAATGAACTTCTAGTACAACCAGTATCCACTAAATACTACTGGTATCACAGTAGCTTATGCTACACAGGTTTTAACACCTTCACAATCACCAAAACAGTCTGTGCCCAGGAGTTAGGGGCTGGGGCGCTGGCTGGCTGGAGCTTTTATGCAGGTCCAATGATGAGGAGCAAATGATCCCAGCTGGGCACCCGGGTGTGGCAGCAGACCTGCAAACAAACACCAAACAGGAAGCTCTCTACTCCAAGAGAGCCCCTACAGGTCAATGGACGTAACATACTCGCATACTCAGAGAAAACCCATGCATGTATAGTGCAACCTCAAACTCAACGACCCACACCGTCTCATTCAAGTCTTCAACCTTTTTGCTGTGAAACAAAAAAAAAACAAGACCCAAGAAAAGGTTGCTAAAAATCAAAATCAAATGAGAGTTCAGAAACTGTTCTGGTTAGAGAGCTTAGGCAAATCAGCACTGATGCTAACTGTTTTAGCTTAAAGAAAATCCTAAGTGTTTTGATATATTGTGACTGTTTTGTCCCATTCTAGCACGACCGATTTGAATATGGGCCGCCTGGTGCGAGGAGATGCGAGCGAAGGTTTTGTGCCGCCTGTAGCTGGTGCTGTTTTAGATCTGCTGGGGAAACACGGTGAGTTTCTCCCAGGTGCCTTTTCTGTCCCCACATTCATGGACCTAAAGTAGTCAGCATGGTGTTTTGTATTCTGACCCCTAATGATCTCCACACAAACACAACATCATTATAATCTCTCAGGAAGCAGCGATAAGGCCTCTCGATATGAATTAAGACCACGTGACTAACGACTGATTACCGAATACTGTTGCTGAGGCTGGAATGTTTAAAAAAGAGAAAACAACTTTTTAAAACTTTTTCTTGCCTCTGATTTTTCTTGTTGTGATCACTCTGTTATAAAATCAAGCATACTGTATTGATTTCAAGCTCTGGCCATCATAAGACCTCCTCTTTAATGATTTAAAATCTGCAGCTTTGTTTGTGAAGTTGTCACCGACTGGAATTTTACACCGTAAATCACAAAACAAACATTTTCGGTTTCACCATCTGACCGAAGCCTCCAGTAAACTCAGCTTCTTGTCAATGGTAAATGGTAAATGGCCTGTATTTGATATTTGATTAGCGCCTTCTAGAGTCCTGGAACCCCCCAAGGCGCCTTACAACACAATCAGTCATTCACCCATTCACACACACATTCACACACTGGTGGGGATGAGCTACAATGTAGCCACAGCTGCCCTGGGTCGCACTGACAGAGGCGAGGCTGCCGAGCACTGGCGCCACCGGTCCCTCCGACCACCACCAGCAGGCAAGGTGGGTTAAGTGTCTTGCCCAAGGACACAACGACAGACTGAGCGGGACTCGAACCTGCAACCTTCCAATTACAGGGCGAGCACTTAACTCCTGTGCCACCGTCGCCCCGCTTGTCAAGATTTTAAATGTTTTTAAGTTTGCCGTGAAATGTATCTCTGTTTTTTATCAAACTGTAGGACATTTTGTTGTTTGGATTCATTTATGGATTATCTAGTAATTTCCTGATACTAGAATTTAAATTTCTACAATCTCAGAGATTCCCAGTCTGGGATTTTATTGAATGCAGTTACAGCTGCCTTCAGCGGTGCTTATACAGCTAACGGGCATTTTGATTACAGATGATGACATTAAACTAAATATTTCTTATTCAATAACGTTTTTATTAACTACTGGCCCTATAATTAAAAACAACTTGTGTTTGTAACTTTCTGATTATTTTAACAGCTGTAGGTTTGACACGTTTTATATCAAATCTTGTAATAAAGGTTTGGTCCACCAGTTTTCTAACCTAACTTAAACATGTCCATAGATGCTCCTTTGAAAGTGAAATCTGTGCTGCTGGTTGGAGGAGAAGGACCCCTCAGGTTGGCCCTGCAGTGCCTGATTGAAAGGAGTGGGGTGGAAGTTAATACAAGTCATTGGAACTCCAAAAGTCTGCAGACACAGGTTCATTTACATTTGTTTTCAAATCTAACAGTGAAGGAGTCCGTTTCCTAACATCTGTTGAATGTCAGCTCAGTTACTGTATGTGCAGTGATCGTTATTCACCACAAGTGGTCGATGTCTATCTTTTGTCTTGTTGATGTCTTCCACATTTTCCCCACCAGGTGATGCAGGCTGATGCTGTGGTTCTGTTGGGTGCAGGAAACATGGAGGTTCCTCCCACCTGGATTCGTCCAGAAGCTCTTATCATTCACTGTGAGCCCGCCCTAAAGCCAGGTGTGGCTACATGTGTTGCTTTTGATTTGATAAATAAACAACCTCACCTTTCTTTTCTCTTTTGGAAAACAAAATCAGATCATAACTGTGTTGGTGTCAAACATGCATCTGTTGTTTTTGTATATTTATAAAAGCATATTTTAATCATTGTGCGGAATAATCAGACCTTCTTCTTTCTAGACGATGATGCTATTGGTTTATCCTCGAGATCTGGAGTAGGATACCTCACAGCTGCTTACAGAACACAAGTGAGCTTTTTCTATCTACTCTTACTCATAATTGATTAAAAATGCCTTTCTGTCATCATTAGTAACCCCTTTATTTCTATTCTATTAGAATGTCATTCACAGTTGCAATCGGTGGATTCAGAAGCAGCAATATCGGCCCTGGCGTCTGCGTAGCCTTAAGTTGCTGCCCCTGACCCCCGTGCCAAGGTTCAGACCTACAGCACATCCCGATTTAAAGGAAATGTAGTTAAAAACAAAGGGCTGTTGTGAAAATGGGATTAGACATGCTGTGTTGTGTTTTCTGGGTCAGTGACATAGAGATATCTCGAGCTCAGACACCTAAACCCGTGGATCAGCTGGCTGAGGAAATCGGTTTGCTGCCGGAGGAGCTCGAAGCTTACGGCAGGAACAAAGCCAAGGTCCAGCTGTCGCTGCTTGATCGCCTCCACTCTCAGCCTGATGGCAATTATGTGCTGGTGGCTGGGTGAGGAAGATGTTATTCCTTTGAGAACTTGCAGATTGATTTGGGACACAGTTGAAATCGTCTCTTTGTGTATCCAGTATAACTCCAACTCCACTGGGTGAGGGTAAGAGCACGGTGACCATCGGCCTGGTCCAGGCCTTGTCTGCCCACCTGAAGCTCAACTCCTTCGCTTGTCTGCGGCAGCCTTCACAGGGACCCACCTTTGGGGTTAAAGGTCAGCATCAAGCATGAGTCTTTTCCTGATTGTCTTGTGTATCCTCTCTGAAAGCATCCACTTCCTGTCTCCTTTTCATGAATACAAACTGACAAAGATGTCGCCTTTTAGATGGTTTGCTGATCTGTTTATTATGACCCAGAATGAAATGCTAAAGGCGTCTAATTGCGATGATGGGAACATTCTTTGTCAGCGAGAGGCTAGCGTTTCAATCTTTTATACATTTTTCTTTTGGGTGGAGCAGTTCACTTAGAGTCCATATCTCAGCGCTGCTCCTTTGAACGTCTTTGTCCTGGCGTCTTCCTCTGACTGTTTTACCTCGGCTTTGTGCCTAGGGGGAGCCGCAGGAGGGGGCTATGCCCAGGTCATTCCCATGGAGGAGGTAAGACGAGCAGACAGCCCTCTGGCTGGATTGGGTCAAGCTTCAAAGGGACTCACCGTAAATAAAATAACTTTACAACGTCTAATATGTAAAATTATGTTTTTATTATTCACCTTTTATGTAGTTCAATCTCCACCTGACCGGTGACATCCATGCCATCACAGCAGCCAACAACCTGGTGGCAGCAGCCATCGATGCCAGGATGCTTCATGAGGCGACACAATCAGACAAGGTGGCTGATGTTTTATTACAGCACAAAACTGATTTTTTTCATTTTCATATTTCATATAAATTATAAAGCAATGTTTCCCCTCTGTGTCTCCAGGCCCTTTTTAACAGACTGGTTCCTACAGTCAACGGAGTCAGAACATTCTCTCCTATCCAGATCTCCAGGTTACGTGTAAGTCCAGCTACCGCAGCGTCTGTGAGAGTCTATTAAAACCTCTCTAGATCAAAAGTACAGAACAAATAAAAAAATAATGTTCTGACATTTTCTCTTTGAATTCCTTCCCTCCTACCTCTGATTTCATCTCAAATGGCCTTAAAACAGCCGACATGTAAAGGAAAGTTGCATCAAATGACCATAAAATAATGATATGACCACTAGGGGGTCTCCTTACATCTTAAGCCTGCTCCCTAATCTGTTGCTCTAACCTCATCCTCACACGTTTGCTCTTAGCTGATGTAAATTCCAGCAGAGACGTTAAATTTGACAAATGCTGTGAAGTTGGGAACATGAGAGGGAGTTTAAGTGTTAGCCGGCTCCGTGTGTGACCTGTTGTATAGATGTTAAAGCGTGTGACATCTTTATGGAAAACCTGAGAGAGGAATATTTTTTTGAGCATTTAAACTGTACAGTACGACTTCCATCTTGTAGTCACCTAGTCTGGATTTATTTTCTGTTCTCTGAAGATTTTTCCAGCTGGTATGTTCTTAGCCATAACTACATTAGCTAGACTGCTTAATGTAAAATAAATGATGGAAATGGTCACATAACCGTATAGCACGTGATAAATGTCTGTTTTATCTGTAACAGCGGGAACCAAAAGCTGGAGCCAGAAGTTTCATCCATCCATCTTAACATATTTTTAAGAGAATCTGTTTTCTTTTCCATTTCAGCGTCTTGGTATCAGTAAGACAGAGCCCACATCTCTCACGCCACAGGAAGTCAGCGCCTTTGTGCGTCTTGATCTGGACCCTTCTAAGATCACCTGGCAGAGAGGTATTTCTATAGCTGCCTGAGTTTATTCCTGGTTGTAACGAAATACTTGCCTCATGGGCAAATTATACGTCATTTGTTGCGCTATTAAGAGCAGGTTTGCTTCAGAGAGAAGCTCTTCTGTACCTTGTGGTTTCTTCAAGAGACCTTTGAGCCAAAATACATCTCAAATTAAGTTTTTGCTGCTGAATAGTAACAAGGCCTGCATGTTTTTGTTACGTGTGACAAAGGTGTAAAACCAAAATGGGTTATGTTTGTTTGCTGAATGTGACGAGAACACAAGTGAACAAGTGACGCCTGTGAATCTAAAGCATTGACTGTTGAGACAACTCAGTGGAGGTCATTTGGCATCGCCCCCAGATGGCCAAACAACAGCGTTAAGACTTGGTTCACACGGCCGGATTTAAAAATGTCAAAACATGAGACGACACACACGCTGGTACAAAAATCATAGATGTAACCGTTTTGGTCCTGTAGTGTGTGCTGTGCAGCCACACGGAAAAAACTTCACGTGAACTGATTTCACGGTCCAGGTCAGACAGGAAATCTAGCAAGATCTAACTTGACTTTGACGTAATCAAACATGGCAGAGTAGGATTGTGCAGCTTGCTTTCGATTGGCTACACATCACATTCAACATGTTGAATATCCCTGATTTATGATTGGAGCTGTCCCAATGTGCATCCGAGCAGACCAGGGCAGTCTTAAAGCCTGGACCACACTGTGTGTTTTCTGGCTGTTCTAGACAAATCCCTCGTTATGAGCAGAATCGTGACAAAAAATTGTGAACGTGAGGATGACTTGCCAGCTTTTTGAGCACTCTCCGGCCCAAAGTCAGCCTCCAACAGTCTTCAAGCACTGCTTGAAAACCTACGACTCCCGTCTGCAATTAACCAATGAAAATACACCCTGGGAATGACGCGAAAAACTAGTGACGAGAGTGGAATTAGCAACAGTGGAAGCTACGTGCAGGAACAGGCAGACCACTCCTTTCTGGAGTTGGGTCCATAATCCAATGAAAGACGTATTAACGGTGGTGCTTTTTTCTCTTTTCAGCATTGTTGTTTTGGTTTTAGCTTTTAGCAAGGTATGCTTCTCAGGGGATGCATGTGTGACATCAGCATGTCCTTCTGGAGCGAGACATCGTGCAGTATGGCTCATTGAAATTTTGACTGTACAGTAGAGTCTGGAGTCCACACAGTGTGACATGAGCATTCCTGTGTGGTCCGGGCTTAATACACCGCACATGGCAGGATTATCTGAAAAGATTATCTTTAGAGCCATTACGGTCGTCCTTAAGATCGCCGTGTGAACCGGGCCTCAGACTTGACCAAGGACTTGGTCAAAGGCAGGATCTAAATCTAGCTACCATCAAGGATGTTTTGACAAACAACTGAAGCTCTTTAAAGACTTTTTTACATTTTGATTAATGTAACATCTAATCTTTGAAGGGCTCCTTATTAAAGAGGATTTTTAAGTCGTTTACATAAAGTAAAGTCCATAGTGTCATCAGTCTAAAGCTGGGTGGATATTAGAAAGCTGCAGCAGTCTAAGTTCAGATCTGTCAGAGACAAACCAGCTGGGCTCTGCAGTGATAGATGTGGTTTTTACCTCCATGCCTCCAAAGTTGTTGTTTTTTTATATAAGACACAAACCCTGGAGATATAACAAACAGATTCACCTTTTTGGAAAAGTCTGGATAGTCGTGTTTTCCTTCCTTCCTTACAGCAGAAGAGCTGCTGAATCCTGTTTGACTAATATGGCTCCCAGCTGTTTCATCCACAGTTAAAACTGGTCAAACTGTGGTCACGGTGGCTTCTCACAACTTGTGAATTTATAAAGAAAACCTGTTTGTGTTTTTGTTTTTCAGTTCTTGACACAAATGATCGATTCTTGAGGAAGATCACAGTAGGACAGGCGAGCACTGAAAAGGGACAAATCAGAGAGGTAGGAACAGAAACGTTATGTTATTGCAGATGTTTGGCTCATATGTGACGATTAAATCACTCAACACACACACACCCACACACACACACACATTCTCTCTGTGGTTCTGCAGAGGGACAGCCACAGATCTGTAGTGATGACAGCCAAATGAAATTCAGTGAGTAAACAGTTCAGGTCAATGGGAAGCAGCAGCTTTAAGTGAAAGCAAATGTTTACACAGGAGTGGGGCACACACACACACACACACACACACACACACACACACACACACACACACACACACACACACACACACACACACACACACACACACACACACACACACACACACACACACACACACACACACACACACACACACACACACATACACACACACACACACACACACACACACACGCCTGGAATGGTGCCTCAGCATATGCTTATATTTACCGCCTGTTTGGCCTTCATTCCTCCGCCCTGCACCATCCTCCTGTGCCGGTACCCTGTAGCCCCTCAGGGTGTTATGGCTGGGAGTGGGAATAGAAATCCTTTAGTCCTTGCTGGATTCATGTGGGTTAACTCATGTTTTTGCTCCCTCTCCCCTCTGTGTTGACAAAAAGAGACTGTTTGAATGTCCCACATTCACTCATGTTGCCTTGTTTTCTAAATCTCATCAATTTCACATAAATCAATAAAAAAATGAGCTTAAAATTACAATTTTCCTAGCAGCTAATTTAAACCTTATTCATGAGCCCTATTTTCCTGGAAATGTGATTAACCAGGGGACCTTTTCCTGTCTGTGTCGCCCTTCAGACTGGCTTCGACATTGCAGTGGCCAGTGAGATCATGGCCATCCTGGCTCTATCAGATAGCCTGAAGGACATGAAGGACAGACTGGCACACATGGTGGTGGGCACCAGCCGCTCCGGAGGACCCGTCACAGCAGAGGATCTGGTGGGAAAACTCACGCTGTTTTAGTCTGATCTCGTTTTAAAATCGAATCAACTCTACGGTTTCTAAAATGCACAGCGGTCATTCAGCTTTGTGATAAATCCTTCTGTTCCCAGGCACACTAAGGTTTAACCTCCAAGCCCCACTAAGAACAACATTTTCAGTCTAGGTGTAGCTTGTGTGTAAGACAGCTTTCCTGCCTCTCACACTTTAGGGCCGAACATTTCCCCACATCTCTCTGAGCTGTAGATCACCTTAAATGAGGTTTGAGAACGTAGAGTAAACACTATGGTAATGTCTCCAGACTGACAGGCTAAACAAAAGAGGTATACACTTTCAGCAGGCCTAAATGTCATTCATGTGTCTGTTATAATCTATTTGCTGACAGGGTGTGAGCGGCGCTGTGGCAGTGCTGATGAAAGATGCCATCAAGCCCACACTGATGCAGACCCTCGAGGTGAACAACTTCTGCTAAATGTTAAAACTTATATGTTCAGTTTGTTTGTGCATCAAGTCTGAAACGAGTTTGGTTGTGATTTTGTAATTGGTTTGATTTAAACAGTCAGTCCTGCATCCACTGGCTCTGTTTGCTCCTTTGTGGCTGATCGCTGTTTGTTTCTCGTTGGTTCTGAACAGAAAGCTTGATTACATCCACTGGGTGGAGAAAATAAACACAGGTTGTCCCTGTGTTCGGTGTTTTCTGGGGTGGGTTGGAGTTTGTGTTTACAGTAAAGATTCGGTTACGGTTATTTTTTTTCCTTTTTGGAGGAAGCTTTGCAGTCCTGTTGTGTGAAACCGTTTCCTGTGTGGGTTTCCTGTGATTCTGGTCAGGGAGCTGGTATCGAGACCGGTCGGATCTCTGAGTTTCATGAGAATTTTCCGTCCAGTTTGACCGCCTGTGCCCTCTTGACTTGTGGTGGTGAGTCCAGATGCACTCGTGAGAATGGAGCTGGCACACGTACGCGTTTTGTCCCAGTGTGGGCTTCTGTGCCCTGTGTTTCAGAAGGGACAGGGTGTGCCAGACACAAGATCACCAGAAGAATAAGGATTGTTGTTTTAGTTTACTACCTGTGTACGTGTCAGATCAGCTAGCCCCAGTCATTCTGTGAAGTTTTTAAACATCCTCTTTCACCGCAGGGTTTTAGAAAACAACTACAGACGCCTTTCCTGGGAGGAGGCCAGAACAGATGTGTGTGTCTTCAGGTTTAAACTCTTCATGCTATCGCACTTTTTAACCTGGAATGTTACATTAGCACGGTTAGACCCATCCAAATAAAGAAAAATTGACATGATCTCCTTGTTCACATGTTTTGTTCATTTTCATGTGACTCTCTGGACTCTTCATTTATTTCTATTTTCATCTTATTGTTCCCTATTGAATAAAGCTTCCCACACGGAGAGGTGGAAACTTCCTAACTCAAGTTAAGTTGGAGGTTTACATTAACCATCGAGGTTGATCTAGGTTAGCTTTCTGTTTAAAAACGTTTAAATATAGACATCATGGCGGTTGGATAGTTGTACAGAGAGATGTTTTTTTTTTCTTTATTATCTGTTGGGATTCAAAGGGACGGCTTTTAGAGGCTAAAATTACAAGTGATTTACTTGTCTACAGGTTGTTTGTTTTTGTACGCAGACGGGTATGTAAACATAGGCTCAGGACATCATATTAGGCCTTCCATCCTTGCTTTTTTTGTTCTTTTAAAATGCTAATTGTTCTAGCAATAGCTCCACTTGCTCCCATAATTCTCTCTTGAGATGCTGTCTGAGTATTTGAGCTTTCATCTTGGAGATCAGACATCGTTGGGATTTGTTTTGGATTGTAAAAGCAGGCTTTAAGCTGCCAAATAGATTTATTTAGAGAATTTAAAAAGCTTATTTATTCATTTATTTAGGCGTTTATACTTGTTTAAAGAGTAGGGCTGGGCGATATGGCCTAAAACTAATATATAACGATAACTACAGGTATGCACAGAAACAAAAGGCGTCCACTGATTGGGCTGTCACGTATATTGCGTTAATTCACATTTTTATGCAACTCAAGGTGGTTCAGCTTCTGGACTTTGCCAACCTACACACATATTTTCATTTTTTAATTATCAAATTTATTGACATGGGGAAAATTATCATGATAATGATATAAGAAATTTCGACAACAATACATTTTTGATTTATTGCCCAGCCCTATTAAAGAGTAATGGAGATTTTTTAATCTGTTATTCAAGTGTTTTGAAGCAACACTAAAGAGTGTTTAACATGTAAAGCTTTTGCTTTCAAGCTGGTTTCGGTGTTTCTTGAGTCAGCTTCAGACAGACGCTGCACTGAACAACTTTGGTGGTGTTTACTGTGCTGATAGCTCTTGTAAAGGCTAGCAGGGAGCTTTTTCCATTTACCCACCGTCAAAAAGTGCAAGAAAAGAAGAAGTCTTTTTTGTTGTTGGAGCCTGGAAGTAAAAGAAAGAGTAATGTCTTATGAAGTGAAGCAAAAGCTAAAGCCAGAGTGAACATGGACATGGCCTTCACTTGTTTATGAAAATTGTAATTCAGTTTTCAACCAATAGGGGGAGAAGTGGGAAACATGGTAAATGTTACTTTAAAGATGTGGTTCACTGAGAAAACATTTTAAAATCATATTCCTGTTTATAATCAGTCACTCATGCTTTAGCTTCTGATAGATAATAGGTGGTGAAACTTGGTTTTGCAAAGCCTGACAAATCTACGTCACACTGTCACTTAACGTTCAGGGACTCGCCCATCTTGACTCATGACGGGGAAGGTTGTTGTTGGTTTAGCATCCAGGAAACAGCAGACAATGTCCCAACGAAGATAAGCTAACCATTAGCATTAGCAACTCTGCCACACAGCTGAACTCCTCCAGGCTTGTGTTATTTGTGGAGATAAAAGCAAACAGTCAGTGGTAGAGGTGATGATCACTGGTGTTGCTGTTAGCCAATCAGGGGCGAGATGTCCAAATATCAGGAAATAAGTCTCCAAATCCTTGTCGTATGAAGCTACTTTCTCCTCCAGATGAATTCTCTGTGCTAATACAGGTGCTTCTGGGCTTTTTTGCCCCGAGTACGACTTACGAGGCAGTCATTCCTACCAGAGACCACTGCAAATGTATTGATTAAACAAGTTACATGTTAATTGTAAAATATCAACATATTTGTGTAAATAAATTATTTATTGGTAAGTTTTAAAATGATTCAACACAACATCAGATCCTTCTTTGCTGCCTTCGTTTCTTTGCTGCATTTAGGGAGCGTTTATGGTAGTGGTCCGCAAATGACGGCCCGCGGGCCACGTCCGGCCCTCTCTTTGTGGCCCCCAAACCTCGCGCGCACCCCCCACCCCCACCCCCACTGGCCGACCGGGAGGTATAGGTTATTATCATGGCGGCACCAGCGCAGCATCCACATCTGTCAGAGCTGTGTTCTCCACATTTCCCGGGTAGGAAACTTCGGTCTGCCTTTATGTGGTGCTGCAGGGCTGAGCGCTGGAGTTATAACCTGAACCGAATCAGCCCGATCGATTCTGTTGGATTTGGGCTGTGAATTATGTTAATTGAGCGGGTTGTCGCACAGCGCGCTCCGCTCGCTCGATCAGCGACTGAGAGAGAGAGAGAGGATCGGAGAAAGCTCCTTCAAACGCGCGTTATTATTTTTTTCATAAGTTCATTATTGTTTCTCCTGGAAGCGCTCCGTCAGACCGAGATGTGCTGAGATGTCGGGAGATCTGGTCTTGGGGAGGGAGCGGGGTGAGTGACGGCGGCTGCAGCGTGATCTTGTCTCCTATCTGCTCCTCCAGAGACAGCATGGACATGAGGGTCACATGGTGAGGGTCCCACAGGACAGGTCAGTGCAGTCACACAGCCAAGCTGGAGGGGGACAGGCGCTGTTCTTCTTTATATTGCAAGCTTGTGTGTTATGTGTATTACAGCCAGCGATCCAAACAGCAGCAGCAGCAACACCCCCCCCCCCCCCCCCCCCCCCCCCCCGTCCGGCCCTCTTGCTTCTGGGTCTTTCTTTTTGTGAGTGGCCCTCGGACCATTATAGTTGAGGACCCCTGGTCTATGTGGACATTAAACTGGTTAATTTGGACAAACACCCTGCCAGTCCAAATTTCAATATTTACCTTGTAACATGACTAAAAGTTGTTGATTTTACTGGGATCCAAGGATTTGAACTGAGTGTCCGCAAGTTGTAGGGTTTTCTTAACTCCGGTGTCTCTAATCGTTGCAGGGCACGCCCGTGTTTGTCCATGCTGGGCCCTTTGCCAACATCGCCCATGGTAACTCTTCAGTGCTGGCTGACAAGCTGGCTTTGAAGTTGGTTGGACGGGATGGCTTCGTGGGTAAGATCATACACACGGCCACAAATGGAGCCCTGGATGAGTGTGGGTTTATAAACTTAGCAGCTTGAATTAAATTTGAATTTACAACTGACTTTATTACAGAACTTGAGCTTTCCCTGTTGATGCTGCGATCTTTGGCCTACGTCCCTCTCACTCCTTGTCCTGGCTCCGTTCCACCTGGCTCTGGTGGGCTACTGTAGTGGGCCGCTCCTGCGTAACTTTCTAAGAAACCGATCTAAAGATTGTGTGGGTGGGGTGGGGGGGAGGAAGTTAATAATCTTAAGAGGCCTCGGAATGCTTTAGAGTAAACCATCCTAATCCCTTCAACGTCAAAGCCTACTAGAGTATTCCGTGTTTTATCTTCCCCTATCCGTCCTGTTGTTCTCTCTCCTTTTATTTGTTTTGACAGCACGACTATGTTTGGAATGTGTGCATCTGCTGCTTCCCTGGCTCATATAGCGTGTGCAGATGTTTCACAAAACTTTTATTTACGTGGATCTCAGCGTTGTTGGCATTAGATGACCAGTCAAAGATTTTACCCAAGCTAACATCCGAGATGTCCAGTGGGAAACGAGTGCACAAGATTCAGCTGAAGGTGTTTTATCCCTCTCGTTTCCCATCTCCCTCCCTTGTCCGTGTGTTTGTTACCTGACTCTCAGCCATGCCAGGAACTCAACCTCCTTCATTTTTCCTCACCGCACAGATCAGATTCATGTTCCCTCACACTCCCTTTTTTATTCTTCGTGGAAAAACAGCTTTTTCTTTCCTTTAGCAGAAACGATCTTTTATATAATCTAATACAGAATGCAGCTAGGTCTGTAATAAAGTCATAATATTATGAATTTTCCAATTGTTCCCAAGCAGGAAAGTTAAAGTTTTTGTCAACAAATCCATACTGGGTAAGTTCGTCCATGTTAGGAGCTCAGATGTTGTTTATAAGGTGGTCACAATTCTTTACCAGATTACCTTGTTACAGGTAACATGTTGGATTGTATTAATCTGGACTTCAAACCTCCAAACGCTGTGAACTCAGGACCATTGTTGCTCTCATCCAGCAGATGTGTGATTATCTAAATGTTATCAAAGTCGCCTGGAAAATTTATTTCCCAGTTTAGTTTAATTTTTGCTCAAAATTCACAGGAAGCACATGACCCTTGAGTGACCCGAGAGGGATAATGGTGATGCTGTTCTTCATGCTTCATGTTTCTGTGGTGGACCCGGGAATCTGGCCTTAAAGGGTAGAAATGCTGACGTTTTTAGGGGGATTTTTTTTTGTGGGGGGAGTTCGAGAGCTTGGAATTCCACAAAGCCAGATGTGAGCGTGATTCCTATATCATTAGCTGTCTGGAATTCTATCTGCACATAACCACTTCCTGTTACGCGTGGTAAGATTTCCCACGTTGAGAAACCTCCTTGAAGTCAAGTTTGGGTTTTTAGGCATTTGAACAAATCCTTCCTTATTGACTTCCATCCTCCAGATCACACATGACCATTCATTTATTCGTTTTTGATATAAGTGTTTGTCGAGCCATCAAAACCTCCTGAAATGTTCAGAATAATAAAAGGACAGAGATTTATTTCAAATCATAGCCAGAAAATAACAAATCCTAAAAAAGCTAACTGTAGAAAAGCCTGAAAATAAAATCCACATTCTTGTTGATGAAGTTCACTTTGCTCTCTTGGTGTTTTGATGCCACTTAAACTGTCACTACCACATTCCTGATTTTTTTTTTCCCACAACACTGACCTGACTTTCCTCCCTCACTCTGCAAAGTTCAGGGTCATCACACAGAACTGGAAAATTGCAACAATTTCCTCTGGGATCACACTCCTGCTCGGGTTAAAGGCATCAGGATAAGTTGGTTGAATTTGTCACTAAACTTGCAGAAAATAATATAATTTAATAGGATTTAATTTATTAGGAAATATTCTTGTATTTGTTCATATGCTACTCTTTCCAAAATGTTGCTTAATGCTGGTAACAAACTTATTGGCCGACTATTTTTACCAGACAGTGGTTCTATGTTATTTTTGATTAATGGAATTTCTTTTGCCTTTTTCCATTGGGCTGGAAAAATACTTTGATTAAAACTTATGTTAATTATATGTGAAACTGGCAGTAAGATAAAATCTACCACCAATTTTAGCATTATAGCAAGATTGTCCATTCCAGGGGGGTTATCTTTACTGTTTAAGATTAATTTTTTAATGTAATCCTCTGACACCTCCATACTCACAGTCTTTCATTTGCATTATATCATCCTTAATTATTTGATAAGATGTATTTTCATCTTTTCTCTCCTCCCTGTTATTATTCAATGTTTTAATTGTATTGATAAAAAAAACAGTTTTAAATAATCAGCTATTTCTTTTGGTTTGGTTAAAAAAAACTCCATCTGCCTCTAGAACAGTAGATGCCTTCCTTTTTTTAACCCCCATAAGTTCATTTAATGTACCCCACACCTTTGCATTATCTAATTTAGCTTCTATGATTCTTCTATGATAATACAATTGTTTTTTGTTTTAATTATGTTTAGTTACAACGTTCTTTATTTTGCGATATTCGCACCATGTTTCCAATTGATTTGTTTTTGTTGCTTCTAATTTTAAGAAGA